ACCTGTTAACGCCATCAATAAAACAACCAGGTCATAAATCCTACTCTGATTGGAGTGGACTCATCATAATATGTGTGGTTCAATGGCTGATTGTTTTTATCTTTTGGTGCGAGGTCACAAAGCCAAAACACAAACATGGTGCCACAATGTACAACACGGGCTGCTGAACCCGTTAATCAGGTCAGACCTTTGCGAAACACAGCAGCTGCGTATCTGGAGGTGTTGGTGGTGGCCTGGATGGAGGAGAAGGTCTGCTTGTCCATCATTTTACTAGAAAGGGGGAAAAACTGAACAGTCAGACCAGAAGCAGGACCTGAATCAAAGAAGAATGTATAAATCAAAGAACATACGCAGAGTAGGTGTTGGTTTCGTCATAACCCGTGCCGTCCACATTTAGGGCGATTTGCTCTCCTTTACTGCGACAGTAGTTTGGACTCACTGTGTCCATGGATATTTCCAGCTCCACCTGTATAAGGAGCCGTACATAAATGATAAACAACTACAAACACCCGATTTAATGACTTTCAACATTTCTGAAAACTTGTAATACAAAAAATCTTATCTTATAATTTAACCTGATGTAACCAATTAACTTGAGAAATTGGTGATATCCAATACTTTAATATTTCCTCCTATTCACACATCTCCCCTGAAACTGAAACACATTTTCAACAAAACACAAAATACATCAACATCAAGTTTCTGGTTACCCTTTGCTGCTTGGGTTTGATCTTAGCCGCCAAGTGGGTGACATCATCATAGGTCATGGTGGCTGGTCGAACAGGGTACTGCATCAGGGGAAAGCGGTGAACTCAATTAGTGACTCTTTGAACATTAAACATCAATCACACCCCAGACGGTCCAGATAAGTTAGAGAAACTGCTCACATGTGGGCTCGTGAGGTCGTGCTCATCAGTGCACGGGTACTACAAAGGGAAAAGCTCACCTGGAAAAGATACAGCTTATCTGCGAGGCTTTTGGCGAGGTACACGTCGATCTAGAAAAAACACAAACATAGATCAAAGTCAAACAGGCTGACGTCAGGAGCCAACAGCCAAACCAGACTTTCCTCCAAAGTTCCCGAACTCAGGGTCATAGCAGGGTGAGAGGTTGGGTACACCCTGGACAGGTCGCCAGTCTGTCGAAGGGCTAACACAGAGAGACAGACAAGTAGGGCTGCAGCATTTGAATATTTAAGTAATTCAGTTTGCCTGTCGACTCAGAAATCGAATGAAACTCACAACACACCTGGCAGAACATCATGTTATTTAGCTCGTCATATTCCAGCCACAGAAATTCTTTTGTCCATGAAACCAAAAAAGCTGCGCTTTCTTTTTGCCTCATAGTCTGATTTGTCATAACTTCTCCGTTTTGTGGTCGGCTTTTCTTTGGCTGCCCCTTCTTCACCCTGACCTGTCTTATTTGGCTGAGCAGAACTAAAATACCGGCGTAAATCCTGCTGCTTTTACACACGCACTCACATACGCTCAGCGATTCTCTGCGCGATCAACCTCTCACATGTTTAAGCTTGCTGCGGGAGATTTCACTTGTCACGTTTGAATAGTAAGCTAATGAGTGATAAGACGATGTCAGAGGAATTGGTGCGCAAATTATCGTCACTCACCAATCAGTGCTGTCGCTCTCTACACACCGTTCGCGCGATTGCAAAGTAAAGTGAAAGCAAAAAACAAGCGCAAATTCAAACATGATTTCAATGTCACATATTGACAGAGGCTCATCGATGTCAATGACAGAATTACTCAGCTACATTTTTGAAAGAATGCAAAAGCATTGACATATATTTTTCCTTCCTATGATAGCCCGACGGGCAGGGCTGAGATAGATTTTGGTAGCCCGACTGGAAAAATCACTAGCCCTGGGATGTCGGGCTAGCGATTTTGCGAGCCATGTTTTTTCTTTGATTCTAAAAGTTTTGTTAGGAGAGCCTTTAAATAAATATGGCTTAGTACACCCCATGCCCTCTTTAGATTCACCTCTGTGTGCTGCAGGTATCACTGCAATACAAAGTATTAAAGTTGTCTTCAGACTTCGTTAGCAGTTAATCCGCATAATTTAATGTAACGCCTGTAGCCTCTTTGTGGTGCGTTTATGTAGACAGAGACAGCGTGTCTTTGGGCTGTGGGTCGAGCACTCTGAGAGAACATGCAAAACCCACTGAAAGATACTAAATTCGAACTCATGACCTTCTTGCTGAGAGGCAGGAGTGCCTCACAACTAACCACCGTGCCACCAAGTAAATAATAGATTATTAAAATCAGCCGTGTCTCCACTTAGTTCAAACAAATCCTTTTCCTGCTGAGAAATCAGCTGCCAGAAGTAGTCAAGCCATGATCACTAAGCAGTTAATGAACTGTATCCCTGTCAAGTTGAAAGGCACTGTAGAACCTTCAGCACCAATTACTAAAGTACATATTTAAAGTCATTAAATATGTATGCTGTACAATCATTCCACCCTGGAAAATGATCACTTCAAAGAAATAATTAAAAGCCAAAAATTGCCAATGACGACTATATGTAAAATTCACACTACAACTATGAGTATAAACGCTGATATTTGCTGCCAGGTGATTTCATTACCTGTTAATACACCTAACAGAGACTATGCATGGAAAACACCTGGGAACTGTTTACTTCCCGTGAGGCTGTTCACACTGATAAACGCAGAACAGCAATAAAAGGTGCACAGGGCAGAAAAAAAATGCTGTATCATACTTTATTAGGTCAGTGAGACATGTAATATCCTTTCACTTAAGGCTGTAAACATACCTCCTCTATAATGGGGTCGTCATCATCACCGCTGGCCATGTTGATGTGATCAGAGCAAGAAGGTGAGATGGGCAAATCTTGGGGGAGAGGGGAAGGGGGTGCAACCTGGAAAAATAAAAAACAAACTGGGTCACAGGAGCTAAATGTCCGGCTGCACACTCCTGTTACTGTTATGGAGTGGCTACACCCAGGCAGGCAACAAAGGCACCAGATGACAGGAACTTAGTGATCCTGCACATCACAGTTACATCACAGTTCAGTCAGGAGGTGTCAGTATTGGTAATAGCCGATACTCTTCAATTAACTCAACAAGTAAACCATAAGATGCTAAAGTAGTCAACTTCCTATGGTGATTGTGCCGCCTGTCGTGTGATGCTTTCACGGACACACAGGTAAAATCCACATGATGCAACACAGCAGTAAAAGACTCCTCCTCGTGGAAACATAACCCTATCAAACACTGTGTCAAGCTAATTAAAAAAAAGTATGACGCCAATTTACTGGCTGCCTATATAGAGTGTTTATGGTTAAGTTAGCTCCATTAGCAGCAAACCCTGCGAGCATTTATCACAGGGCCTACACAACACAGCGGGTGCTTTTTTTTTTATTCCTATGTAAAAACAACACCAATATAAAGAAGATAGGATACACAGCACTAAGCTGAAGATGTCTGTTTCCTGTAAACAAACGTACAAGCAACAATATTAGCTACCAAGGCGGTAGCTAGCAAATGTAGCCTAGCGTGAGCTAGCTTAGCATGGCGTGCTTAGTTAAAATAACACAGATTCAATCAGCGGGCCTGATTTTAACTCTTCTTTATGTAAGAATAGCAGATTCCTCCCTCACCTGCACACTTCACCGTTCAGCTTTGGCTATCTCATCCGGGTGTAGCTAGCCCAGGAGCGTGGTGCGGAGAGCTGGTGCTGAAGTGGAGTTTAACTCAAGACAGCTGTAGTCTACTGCTGCTGTGATACCATGTTGACTCTGCTCCACACAGACACGTGGGGAGGAGCCCGCGCCCATAATGCACAGCGAGTCCGCTTGTGTCATTATTTTAGTACGTTCTTCATTTATAACCAACTACCCCTCGGTATTACCTAGGTATTACTTGTGGACAATTTAAGTTTTCAGATAAAATTGTTTCGTGAATAGAACGGGAAAAACATATTCTGGCAGCGGTGGGATTCGAACCCACGCCCCCGAAGAGACTGGAGCCTTAATCCAGCGCCTTAGACCGCTCGGCCACGCTACCGTTGTGATACAATACATTGAAACAGAGGCTAATAGCAAATATAAAGCCTCCTGACTATAAAGTTTGGAATGTACCCGTTTTAAATGGACTTCAGACAAAAATGATGTAATATGAAATCCAAGGACATGCAAAATATACCCTGAAGTCTCCTGGGAAATTAAAAATTGTGTTTTTTATTATTGCACTTCTATTAAGTTCGTTTTTTGAGACTGCAGCAGCAAATACAGGATAAACGTGTCCTCAATAGACAGAGAGGAGTCGTTACAGACTTTAACTTCAAATCACGTCTGCAGCACAGAGTCAGCCTTGCTAATCAGCTTCCTAGTGTGAGTGGAGCTGCTGTTAAGACAGATAGCTACAACAAAAAAAGTGCACGTCGTACGTACGTCATCTGTTTGAAAACCTCATGTTTATTCTGAAAAAATTACTCTTGCCATTGTGGTCAATTAAAATATACTACAGCTTAATCTTTTTCTTAGTTGACCATCAAAATTTTCTTTCAAGGGATTTGCTTTGCCCATGTGGGCCACTGCATATTTCTTGTAAGCGGATTTTGGGGGCTTCTTTCGTTGTTGGACCCTCTCAGTTCATGATGTAAAACCTGCACTACAGCAGTTTACAGTTCATCACAGGCTTGAAACTTAGCGATTCCAGACTATACCGACCAATCTTCCTCTTCTCTGAGGATAATAGTATGGGTCTTCTTCCAGAACTTGGCAAAGTGGTGACATATCTCTGAGCTCTGGGATCAGAGAAAACTGCAAAGAAAAACAAGACTAGTGAGCTGAAGCATTTACTTGTTTTCTTTTGTCCCATAACCAATCTGACTGCAAATTAACTTATTTTAGTTAATGGTGCAAAAAACTAAGGTAAATTGTTTCTGTTATGACACTCACAAAACACCCTCATTTTAGGTTACAAGAGTCCTTCCACTAGTTAGAAAAATCACAACAGGATCATGATTGGTAAAAAGAAAGGCAAACTTTTATTTTACAGTTTCATATTCCAAGCACTTTTCTTTATCACACATATTCTCTTAAACATAAACATGTTAACATCTGGGTCAAAATAAGTAAATCTTTTTTGATAGGTCAGACCTTTTCATTCATAGAATCACATTAACTTAACTCTAAAGGTTAATATAGACATGAAATGAAAGAAATGAGGAGCCAGGAAATCTAGCTTTACAACCATACAGAAAGAATCCTGAAGATAAAAGTCTGATGCTGAATGGCTCAACACACACCAAACGCGCACACAAACAAACCACCAACACCAAAAAAATCTGTCATAAAAACAGTAATGTAAACTGAAGTCATTCAGGTTTTACCCAGAATGTGTAAAAAAAACAAAAAAAGAAAGAAAAACAGCCACACATCAAGTCTCGTGGCCTTTTTGGAGGTTAAAATAAATCTCTTTTATGTCGTGGAGTTACTCCTCCATTTGTGCCCAGGCTTCTTCAGCTTTCATGTAGTACTGGTTAGCCAGTCGACCCTTCATGGCCGCCATGGCGGCTTCTGCAGCTTCAGTAAAAAGGTCACCTGCAAGAGAGAGATAGGATGAGATGTTACAGGCAGTCGCTCCACTAAACAGAAGTGAACCCAACCCCACGACCATCATGTGAGACTAAAGCTTCTCCGTGCCACAGATCAAAATCACAAGCCCTACTGCTTCACTGGGAAAACGGTCAGACAGAAACTGGTGTACGATTTCTTGAAGTTAAAATTCTGCACTCGGCATCGGGTTGAACCTGCTCTCTGTGGGTCTGCGGCGAGGTTGTGGCCTCCCTCCTGGTACATCTCTGCCTCTCTGGCCAGCAGAAGGTGGCGAGGCTCGTCCTGGGTCCCATCGAACTCTCCTCCTTCGTCGTAGTCCATCATGTTCAGCGCACTGTTGTACCAGTGAACCGCCTCGGCCCAGTCCTGCTTTCTGTGAAGGCGAAAGGATAAAATGCTTTAACTCACAAATCACCACCACTTAAAAAAAGCAACTGTAAAAATCCAACCGGCCACAAGAGGGAAGTACTATCAAGCAAAGGCAGGATTCCTACGTTTCAACTGAAACATCTGCTTTGAATGAACCTTCACTCACCTGTCAGCAGACAGACCGACTCCAGTATCAAAGGCTCTGGCCACTATGATCATAGAAGATCTGTCGCCAGCCTCAGCAGCCTGCAGCAGATACTTGAAACCTCTCATCCTGTTTCCTGCATTATCCTGCCAACAACACACACACATCAGAATATAAAGCCACCCTGTGAAGTTAAGCTCAACAAAAGAAAGGAAAATAGATGGCGCACAGTACCTCCAGCTCCATGTCTGGCAGTATATGATGAGGTAGCTGCAGACAGCACTGTCCCAAAGCTACGATGGCCTCCAGTTCTCCACACATGGCAGCTCTCTCCAGGTGGTACATGGCCGACTCCTGGTCCCATTGTTCGTCCTTCTCGCAGAAACGACCCGCTTCGTGGTACCGGACCATAGCCAAGTGGACCTGGGTGGGAGATAAAGAATATAAGCGCTTGAAGCATGCAGAGCTGCCTCATTGTGTTTGGTTTGCGATAGGAGGAGTTTGGACTGAACTGAATGCTTAGAATCAAAGAAAGATTTCAAAAATTGTAACAATGTAAGTGTTTTTAGTGTTGGTGGGACCAGAGTTAAATAGTGGCACGGAAACATTAAATTAACTAATGTTTCCTCCTCTTACTTTTCCAAGAATCGACTGGCCGATCTTCTTCTGCAGCAGATTGTTGAGTCGTTCCACCTCGGTGGCCACACAGGAAGGTCGGTGGACGTGAGCGCGGGATGAGTGATAGAAGGTCCACTTCTCCTCGGTCAACTGAACAGAAGAAGCAGGCACCAAAGATCCAAGAAAGAAGAAAAGGACAAAAAAAGTTACCATCTGATATTCACTGCAAGAAATAATATTATGGTTGAAAAGTCACACTGCAGTCTCAGAGGTGTACCCATCCAGGAAAGTCTGCTTTGAGCTCAGAGATGGAGGAGTACATCCCTGTTAATGCAAAAGGAGCGCACATACAGACACACACACACAGTTATAGAAGTGAGAATAAGCGGGATGGCAGAGCAGGCGAAGGTAAAGGAGGTAGATGGTGTTTCAGTTCCAAGTATCACTTTTTATCTCCGTTTGTATTTTCCAATTGTTTTCGTTCACTAAATAAATAAAGCAGGCGTCAACAGGAAAATAGCGACAGCGAGTTCAATCCACACAAATCGGAACCGTTCGAAAAGCAGAGCCATCATGCTGGAGGCAAACATTATGCTTCACGGCTAAAAAAAGACTGCAAAGCGCTGCACAGGGAAACACCTGGCTCAGGAGCTTCCATGCAAATAATCACCCATTCGTTGTCAGGAGTGTTTGAGTTTAAGTTCGCAGAGACTCTTGGAGGAGCTACCATCTTCCTCTAGTGAGGGGAAACAAAGTAGGAGGAGTGGAATTAGAGGAGAGGTAAGGAGGGGCTTTCATGGTTAAACAAGTGATGGGGAAAACAAAAGTAAAGATGATGTTCAAAGGGAAATTAAAGTAGGGTTATTTGATTAAAGTGGTGATGATGATGATTAAGAACGAGGTGAGGAAGGGATTTAGGGATATTTATGTTTCTTTACCCGTCTGACACTTTCCTCGTCCGACTCTGAATATTGTCTGTTGTAGCGATGATGGATCTATGTGACAATATGACACGGACTGTAAAACCAGCTGTCACGAAATCTAACAAGTGTTGAATAAGTGCATCGACGGGGCATGATGAAGCTCATTTCAGGTAATATGCAAGAGGACGTTCACAAACTGGATCCAAAAGCGGGATTTGGATCACAGGAAAAATACATTTAATGATTAACTAAAAGCTTCCTCTGTCCATTTCTGTTGAGCAGTGACAAAAATCTTTACCCCGTCTATGTGGTCATTTGGGTCTCCTTCACTCCTCCTCTCGCTCGGGTAGCCGCTGTCCCCGCCGTTTTCTGATTCCTAAAGACAAAAATTAAGACAAGAATTTCTGATTCCTGGTGGTAAACTTTTGTCAACAAGTCAGCTACACAGATATAGTTTTAAATAATGTAAGTAATGCTGTTAATCAATGTGAAGCTTGGGGTTGGGTGATGATGTTGAGTGATGATGCAGCGCTCTGTGTTTTTTTTAAATGTGCTTTCTTTCATTGCTTGTGCTGTTTAGAGCCACTCTCACCATCAGTTTTTACTTACCCTGTGTTCGCTTGTGTTGCTCATTCTGTCGTGTTCATACATTCCGATAAAAGACGAGCCTGTAAAATTGAAATAAAATGCAAAACCACTCACCACTTTAGCTCCTCAGCATGTAAGCTATGTCTGAATACTTGTGTATCTCAAGATATCTCTAGATACCTCTGCTAGCAAATTTCTAGTAACATACAATGACATAAATGTCTATACTAATCTGTCTACTAACTCGACATGAGTACTGTCAACGCTGAAATCCTCCTTCTGGCTAAAAATAGATTATTGGTTCCTCTTGTTTTGCACATGTGACCATGTCACTGTCAATACTTTGTCCAAGTACTCTTAGTGCACTTTATTTATACGTAGTCGTCTGTGTGAATGCTTTTATTCATTCAAATTAACGAGAAAATGGAAAAATACCAGATCTGAGAATGAATCACAACATGGACTGTATATGAAAGATGGACATGTTACTGCCATACTAGCAAGGGGGATTCCTCTGGTTGTAAAAAACTTTCCAGTTACATAGAAGTCTCTGCTCACATGATTTGCGATCTCAGTAAACACATTCCTGATGGGTTTAAGAACTCTATCACTACTTTTAAGCTTCATTTAATAAATCAAATAAAACATGTGGTTCTAGTTAGAATCAAATAGAGCGATGAGGCAATTGATTCACGTCTCGCTCGTTACATCCCTTTTTAAAATACCAAGAGCTTCATGACTGGACTTTGCTAACTACTATGTCTATTTTTATATATACAGTAACATTTTCTGTGGGTCTTGCTTGCATTTACTGATTGCTAACTTGCCTATAGAGCCAGCTGCAGTTGGGGGGGAGCAGGGAAGGATGAGAGGGGAGCAGGGGATCGATTCCATGTCGCTCATGCTCTCATCTGCAGACGAGGTCTCAGACAGGCGGGATAGGAGCGGAGGCGCCCGGCTGGCCGACATGGTGCGAACACGAGGAGAACCGCAGTGCTCCTCTGAGCCTCTCAGCACAGTCTGGGCTGACTTCTACAATGAGAAAAAAAAAAGGAAGAAAGATGAAAATAAAAAGAGGAAGAACTCAGAATTTCTCTTTCTTTTTGTTCTCTGCTCTTTTAAGCCACAGACCAACATCTTCTACCAGGATATAAACTTTCAGCAGACATTCATGCCTAAATATGGAAACTGTGAGCAAAGTGAGATACAGCTGCAAGCAGCAATGAGGAAGCCAAACAGCTCAGCAGGACAAGTGGAAGAGGAAGCTTTCGTGAGTTTGGCTTTCCAAAAGAAAGAAAAGCAAAAAACCCAAACTGGTCCACACAGGAAGTGATTCGCTCGCACACCACTTTGCTACTGATGGTTGTTTGTTTCCAGGTAATAAACCAACCAATAAATATAGGTAATAAATATAACCCCCCCCCCACACACACACACACACACACACACTGCTGCTACTTCTACTTTAAAGGCTGCTGCTTTCAGTCCCTAATATTTAAAGCATGATTAAAACATAATTACGAGCAGTTTGTTGGTGCCGTCCAGCTGGGACATCTCCGCAGGGGAAATGTCGAAAGGCGTCAGGCCCATGCTTTTGCAGATCTTGTTACACAGATGCGAGTGGAAGAACAGGGCCATGCCTCGAACACCTGAAACACAGGTGTGATCAGGTTGAAGCTTTTTAAACACTTACTGATCTAAGTTTGTAGCAGCAGTTTGCTGAAAGGTAAGCATACCTAGATTTCCGTCTCCAAAGTCGGTCCCCTTCGCTGTGTGGATCTGAGGGTCGGTGTAGAGATCGCCGACTCCCTGGATGTCCACCACGATCAGCTGGTGGCCCGACCGCTCAAAGCTGAAGTGACTGAAGGCCTGACGGAGAAAAGAGGGAAATTATATTTGACTGTGTCTTCAGCTTGTGTCTTTAGCATGTATTCATACCACTCCACAGGTGACCACTCACCTGTGGAGTGAGGCGGATGTTGTCGTCCCTGACAAAGCCGGAATTGGAGTTGTACTTGATGTACTTGCCCTCGATGTAATGCTCCAGGTGGAAGAGAGGTTTACTGGGTCGGTTTGTCATCTCCACCACACACATCTGCATGATGTCCACCTGAGGATTTAAAACGGAACGAGGATTACGAGGCATCATCTGATTCTGATACTGGGGGGTGAGGGTGATAAGAGATGACAGGAGGCAACTTAAGATAAGACCCGGATCTTTTAAAAATATTGGTAAATGTACAAATATATACCTGCAAGCGAAAACTGAAGGCTCCAGAGTTCACTAAATGCTCCGTTACAGACAGTTTTTTCTGGTCTTGGCTCTGTATGGTGTCACTGAGAGCCGATATCCCTAATATGGTCATCTCTGAAGCCCCACCCACCTGCTGTTCAAGTCTTCTGTTTGTGAGGGGCAGCCAATCATAAGAAAGTTAACTCAAAGTGGGAGCAGCTAAAGGGTCAGCATAAGATAATAAAAGGAAAATAATTTTCATTTAATTGGAAATCACATTTGAGTCTTTTCTCAACCGCTTATCCGAATAGTATATAAATATTTGAAAAAAAAGAAAAAAAAGAAGCACCAATCAGAGGCCAGTACGTCTTCCCAAACTCTTTCTGTTGACTTCCCCTGATTTTATCGATACCACCTCATTTCTCCCGTACCTGTTTGGGAGGTCGGTGGCGATTGTACTCCTCGCCCCAAAGTTTGGCCTCCATCTGCAGCCTGACGTCCTCAAAGTAAACATTTCTATCCACCGTCTCCATGTAACGCTTGGCCACATAGTTGGACGCCGACTTCCAGTTGCTGCTGTGTGAGAAATTCGACAGCTTCTTCCTGCAGGGTAAAGGGATCACAGTAAATCTACATTACTTTAAAGATAAAGAAACTCCCTCGCTGCTTTAAATCTTAATAAAAATACATAAATAAAGCCTTCTTCATAAATAATAGATATCAGATGTGCCCCAAGTGATCTCAGGTCACAGAAGAAAAACTGATTTAAATCCACATGTGTATAAATCCAAGAGGAAAAACATGCTTCTTTTTTAGGACCTTTAATGTTTGCGCTGGTGGATGCTGGGAGATTTATTTTTAAACGGAAAATAACTAAAGTGTGTGTGTGTGTGTGTTAATTGATGGCTCTCTTACATTCCCAACATAACAGATGATTGACCTTTAACAATTAGAGTGTTAGGCCTTTTCTCTGGGATTCTGCAGTGCCATGCAAAAGCCAGTGCAGCCGTGATGGCGCCGCCCACTGCGATTTTAACCAATTAACATCCAGGGAACCAATACTATGAGAAAGAGTTAGAAATGAGCTCCATGTCCCGCCACAAGAGACTTCACAGAGCCCGTTTAGCGTGTTTCTCAGAAAATAATGAACATGTCAGCTGCTGCTATCCTGACAGAGAAATGTGAGGAATGTTGACCTGCGCTGCTTTCTAATTTAAGAGAGACATTTTCCTCTGTTTTGTTTACAAAGAGACCAGAACGTCATGAGGGCAACAGTCATTAGATAAGAAGCGATGAATATAGACTCACGCTCTGAAGCACTCCCTCATGGCCCCTTTCCCAAAAGGCTGTGAGAAACAAGACAAGGGGACATAAATTAGATGAGAGAGAAAGACACTGTGAGTTCCTAAAGTAAAGTGAGGTGTAGTACCTGTGTACCCATCTTCATGTGGATCTGGTCTTGAACCCATTCCCCTGTAACGGCATTGTACCTGTGAAGATGAACAGCTATATTAATTATCTATTTAATTACATACTATTAAAAATTTAAAAGAGGATTTGACATCTATGTATTTTTAAAAAAAACCCCAAAAAAAACGAAGATGCGAGGATCGCCGTTTTGTTTTGCAAAACAAAAATCAACTATAAACTTGTGTTTTTTAACATGCGAATAATATGAGTTAACAACATTTAGGCTTTTTAACGTTTAAAGTATTAGCAGCTACTAACACGTTGTTCAGCTGACTTAACAACGTGCACAGCACTTCTGTGAAGAAGTGGGTTTGGTGATAATGTAAAACAGGAACACTGACATTTAGCTTCTGTAACCTCTGCTGTAACCCGATGTGCACCTCCCTGTAAATATACTGCAACTATTCATCACACTGGCAGACTGGACAGGAAAAAAAAAAATGGAGGTGGACATTTCTTTTTAATAATTAAACGAACAATGAACTGAGAAAAAACGTGAAAGTAGAATAAATTTTAGGTGTAGCCAAATCTATCAGCGTCTGCTCGTCTCCCACTGGTGTAAATTTCACTGAGCAGCTTTAAAGGACTCCAAAAGCAATGAGTACTCGCTCATGTATCTGCAGCTGCCCGTGTATGATCCGCGCCTGAGTGTACTTCAGCTCTGCAATCGTGTCTTCTTGCTGTGACACATCTGTGGCTCATGTGTTGTTGTTTTTTTTAGTCACAGAGCAGCACCTCTAACCTGGCTGTGCCGGGGAGAAGATGTCCGTGTTTATTTTCTCAGATTGTTTTCCACCTATTACTTTGTTAATCATTCACAGGCCCATCGCCTCGCTGACCTGCCTTTTTGAAGCCATTCCCCTTCCTCGATCAATAACCCAGCACACCGAGAAAACAGAGATAAAACTATTCATCACAGAAGTTATTTAAGCTTCTTACTTCTGTTCATGTTTGCCCAGTGCAGTCTCTCCATCAGCAGCCCATTAATTATTCTTATCAAGGAAGCACATGCAAGCATCGAGTTTCCTTTGCACACAAAAACAACAAGGAGAGAAGAATGTAGCAGGGAGGGAACGACTTTTCATTTAAGGTCATTTTGACCTCTCTTATTCGTTTTGTTTAGGACTGACGTTATTTTGGAGTGGAGGGAGTTGACTATAGTGATATAAATGTGGGTGTGAACACTATCAGACAGGATCAGACTGTCTGTTTGGCCCGTCTGGGCGTGTGTCCCGAGTTAATGTATGCTGGATGTACTAAAAGTGCAGCTGCACGTCCTAAAACTCTAAACTCTATTTTTCCGCCCACGGAAAAACGAGCCCTGTTCCCTTTCCAACATCTAATCTCTGCTTTAGGAACGCAACGTACTATGACTTTCATCTCACTGAGTTCCTCCTGCAGGGGGGCAAAGAGGAGTGAGGTTACACGAGGGTAAAATTAGCACATGTAATGGGAGCATGAGGGCAAATCCCACCCCTGACGATCCCTCCTCCCCCGCAGTCAAATACAAGCTCTCCGTCTGGTTACGTAACGGGATTTTTCCTCCTGCTTTTTGTCCGCACCCAGTGAACTCATGTGTGCTTCTGCAGTTTGGACTGTGAGAGCTGTTCATGCAGCAGCCACAGGATTCTGTGGTCATAATATCTGGATGCACATTCAGCATCACACCCAAGTTCATGGGGCCAACAGACGCCAGAGATGTTTGTGTACAGTTAATAATAGCAGAGCATCACTGACCGAGATATGAGCAACAGAGAATAAATGAGGTCTGCTGTCGGTTCAAGACGAGCCCAAACAACTCATTGAAATGATTTAAAACTACTCTTTTTTTATACTTTTACAGATATACACAAAGGCCGAGTTCACTTTTTCCTCATATCTATAAAAATTGATGCTCTACTGCTTTTCATTTGCATAATAGGCAGTTATTTTCGGTGGAAAAACTAAAAAGAAGAAAACACTGCACACCTCCAGCTCACCACCAAACTTAACGACTAGGAGAAGAACATAAAGCTCTAAAGGGTTGGATATCTTCCTCAGCAGTTACTGCAGAGCACAAACTGAGCCAAAGGAGGGCAAATATTACTCACATGACTGTCACATTTTTGCTGTATACGTCGATAAGCAACAGTATGCGAACATTTCAGTCATTTCAACTTCATTTAAAGCTTGTTGCACTGGCTCCTGAGTGGTTAAAACATCAGTTAATGCAGATTTAATTTGAATTTTCTGATTGACAAACAATGTTATGATTACAGACTGGCTGCCTTTTAAATTTATTAGGTTAAGATTTGGCTGTTTTTCCTGGCACAGAACTTGCTTTTTGGGAGATATTACACTTGCATGCACAATCTGTAAAAGCAGATTTATTCACGTATGATTTCTGACCATTTGCTGAACAAAAATGTCTGTTTATCTCTGTAAATGGAATCTAAATCAACAGAGATTACGTTAAAAACATGATTTTGTATCAGTTCTGTTTAATTTTCTTGTATTCAGGCCAAAACCTCTTGGGTGGAGGGCCCAAAATAACCCCATTCAGAAAAATAAGCTGCACACAGCAATATTCTCACACAACAGGAAAAACACTGCTGAAATTGATGATCTTGTTCTGGTACTTTACATGCTGGAACAAGCCCTACTTAACTGAACACTTGTTGAAGCACAGTGTAAACACTCAAAGGGTCAAACAGAAGAGGTCAAATCTGCTGTGAAAGAGTTTCATCTTTGCCACAAAGTCAAAGTCAGACCTGTAACGAATGCAGGGTTCAGTCGCTATCTCCTCCAGGTGAAACTGCGCCCAGGGGTCGGGCATCGCTTTCGCCTTTTCGATAGCGTGCAGCCATGTTGCCTGGTAGAAAAACAAGAGAGAGAAATATAAAGATCTTATGAGCTCGGGAGCAGAATAAGAGTCAGTTTCTCACATCAGGATTGCTCGAACACAGAAGACAGAGGGGAAGCCCTTCCATGCAAAGCTGTTTAATCTGCACAATAAAAGCACTTCTAAGCCAGTCTGTTCTCTTTACTCAACAATGCATGCATTGTTTTTTCTGCAATTATAATCAGCTCTCAAATTGAAATCTATAATGTCACGATTTCTGCATTAGAGGGCTCTCCCTCTCGATTTAGGGAGTCAAAACAACCACATGGCTCACAACAAAGCACACAAACATGAAGCAGACACTGAAAACAAATACCACAGGAGAATGAAGCCATGGTAATGAGTGGATTTCTGGGCTGTAAGGTCGCCGTAAATAAAATAATTTACAGCTACCTTAAAGTGAACATGTGCAGTTTTCAAAAAAATAACTTGAATCAGATGTCACGAGTAAGCTAAATCTGTTAGCAAGTAACCCAAGCCTTGGCCCAACCTACGCTGCTCAGCAGCACGTCCTCCTCGTGCGCCACTGCTCACAGTCCAGCAGATGTCTTTCTATTTAGAGTGAGGAAGGAGCAGCACTTATGTTGAAGAGGAACAGGCGACACATGTTTATCCATAAAATAAAAAATAAAATAAAAAGATCCGGGAGGGATGAAGTGGTTAAAAGTAAAAGCAGGGAGAGGCAAATTGAAGGGCAGAGTGAGGAGCTGGAGGCGTGGATGGTCAGTGGTATAAAAGGGAGAGAAGGAAAAACCAAGATTTAGATCCAAACATACCCGTGCACTCTCAGACAAAACCTTGTACGATCGATGTCCTGCCACTGTATCTGTTTCTTTTTCGTTCTATGCAAAAATAAAACAAACAAGAAAACGGATCCTTTATCATCAACAGGAAATGTATGAAACATCACTTTAGATAACATTAACAGCCCGGAGGCTCTGAAACAGCAACACCACCACCGCCACACAAAAATTTAAAGAGCCGCGCGCACTGAATCGAGCTTTTGTTGCAGCTCCCTGCTGATGTGGAGAGAGAGAGAGCCGTGTTTACACACATCATAATCACGAGGTGAAACCGCTCTCTGCTGCTTCCTGTCAGAAAGTACATTTAAATAAAAGGTGGGTTGACCAGCGCTTCACTCGAGCAAACACATAAACACACACGTTGAAATATCAGACGAGCCACACAGAACGTGTGTGCAGGCATGCGCGTATCATCACACCTTAAAAGGCAAACAGAAACATTGCAGAACTGAGAGGTGGGGATGATGCATCAGCACAACAAACTGTCATATCCCCACGTCTTATATCTCACCCTGTACATGAAGTTGGATTTAGGGAGCGAGTTTGACAGCTGCCGTGTGTAAACCAGGTTTTTAAGGTGGCTGCACACTTCTTTGGCCGAATCGTCCAGGATGGGGCAGATGAAGTGGTCTTCGTCGTCATCCTCGCTGGCGTTGGACTCGCTGAGGGAGGATGCTCTGTGTTTGAGGGCACTCCGCTGGGCAGAGGGTCTCTTGGCGCTGCCATCCTCCTCCATGCTGAACATGAGTTCGTCCTCCATGGTTTCTGTTGCTGTTTTGACAACAGAGTGTGAGAATGGACTGGAAGTAGGGAAAAAACAGTCACATGCAGAGTGCACAGTCAGGGAACCAGGTGACAGCCATGTTAGTGTATGTCCAAAACAAGCATGGATCATGGTTGCACAACTCTTACACCAAATGTGAGGACTTCAAAGGGGGCCAGACCTTCACATTTGAGTTACAGCCATATATTTCATTCAACAACACACATCATGGGAGCTCTAAGTTATCAGTAAGGCTACCAGCAATCAAAAGCATTTCCATTCATTTTATCTGTGTTATCTAGCAAGTCAGTCGGTCCTTCTGTAATCAAAGGTTACTGTGCTCTGAGAGTTTTAAAGTAGGAGCACAGGAATGCACACTCAAGAACATGCTTCTGCAGGTTCAATGTGCCCCCCACGTTGTAAAACATCTAGCAGCAGCCATTCCTGTTGTACAACTACAGCATGCAGCAGTGGAGTTTCCTACAAAGAATCATCTTCTAATTTAATCTATCGCGACCTGCTGTTAGATATGTTATAGTAAAAGTATTAAATGACCAGCCAATGAATAATCGGATGTAAAGACACACCTCTAATCCCTCAATCTTGACAGACTGTGACAGCAAATCCAGTCACCTCGGTCTTCTTCCGTCTCTCGGTATTGGTTTGCACTTAAATAGTCAAGGCTCCAGGAGCAGGAGTTCACCCCTCCTCTGAGACCAAAACAAGAGTGGATGCCTCCTAGTTCTCCGTGGTATCCTCAAGGTCCGGGACGTGCCTGGCGCAGGGCTTTTGTTCTTGTTCCGTCCACCACGGCGAAGGCTTCCCTCCGCACGTATCGCAGTGTTCTCTGTTGGCCACGCCCCTGCGTCCTGCTGCGTTCAGGACGGTCGGAAATAGAATTATAAATCGGAAATGAGTGCTTAGCGGTAAGGACGAAAAGACTTCTGACAGGTCTCAATTAGATCTGGCAAACAAATAAAAACAGCGTAAGTAGCAGTAGTTAAAATTATTATCGTACAGCCAGGCCGCAAAAGCAAAATTGTGTACTTTCACAGGAGCATTTGACAGTACCACGAGCAGAACAGTTTGTACCGTCATCCAAAGTGCCACTCCAAGCAATGGTTGCCTAGCTAAACAGGCCACGTGTGGCAGCACGGAGGTTCATCGGAAACTTTACGACCGCACTTACATGCCATTTAATAGCTATCGTGCAGGTGACAAGCCAAACATCCTTGCAAATATTTACTTGTATAACAGGGCCCCAAAATGGCTTTAGCTACCTTAACAGTGGGTTGGGAGTACGTTCTTTACGTAGCTTGCCATCACCAGTGTGTGAATGGGTAGGTGATTGTGTATAGTGTAAAGCGCTTTGGGGTCCTTAGGACCAAGTAAAGCGCTATACAAATACAGACCATTTACCATTCTTTAGCTCTTATTAAAAATATTAGCAGTGCCTCATCCGTCCAGGGCTTCAGTGATAACTACAAATTTATTATGTGCTCGAAGAACGTTATTAGTATTAGTAGTAGTAGTAGTGAAACGACATCATCAATGGTATAACGTGAATAAGAACCTAGTGTTTCGCGTCATATAAATAGATATGTGTCTGACGTGTGGTATCACGGTAGCGTGGCCGAGTGGTCTAAGGCGCTGGATTTAGGCTCCAGTCATTTCGATGGCGTGGGTTCGAATCCCACCGCTGCCAGAACTTTTTCTTGCCTTCTTCACCACGACAAGTATTGACATGTCGAATATGCTTTTTCTTTTTTGGTTATAAAAAGCAGATACCAGAATTGATTTCCACTTTTTTGTTGTTGCTTATAGTCATAAAAACTCGAGGTCTGATATTGTAGTGCCATCTTGTGGCCAAAAACAAGCTTTGAGAATTTTGGAGGACACCTTAAAACAGACAGTCACCCACCACCAGGACATTTGAATGTTTTTTTATTATTATTTCTTTAATTTCTGATGATTTGGGGCCTTTTCTGCACCACTTTATGATGATGGAAACACCTGTGAGTAAATAAGAACATACAAATGAGGTGACAAATGTTTCTTAGAAGCTTCTTTTATGTTACTATTATTGCTTTTATTTACATTTGAAAAAATAAAGAAAGTCAGCGGTAATAAAAGTTTCCAAATTTATTGACAGATTTCTAAAGTTTGCTGAAGTTTAAGCGAGTACAGAAATATGGGTCGTTTTCCAACAGAGTCCTCAATATTATATTCATTAATATAATATAAAGAATGTATATTAATGATTAATATAAATTCTTACAGAGAGCTGCACAGTTAAAATGGACGAAGGTCTTCATCATCTGTGCCCTTTGTTGTATTTGCACCCATCTCTTTAATAAAAGATAAATCATAAGGGCGCAAAATAAAATTCAAGACACTGTGCTTAATTACATTTAACAGATTCACATGCTTGTAGAAGTGTTTGTCCCATTTTTCACAGTCTACATTACTCTGTAATCATTCTAAGATTAGGTTTCATCCTGACTTGGGTTTCACTGAGCCCTGATATTTTCCATCACATGCTGAGAAACCACAAACTGCATTTTCTGGATGGCCAGCTGAGTGTCTTCAGGAGAAATCCCAAGATGCCACACGGCCCTGACAGAGTTCCCAAAATGAGGGTACATGAGAACCTGTATCCCCTGCCCGAGTGCAGCCTCCTCACTCTCGCTAACCTGAGCCATGTGGTCACAGAACTCGCGGGGACTCAAACTGAGATCCTGCAGGCGGAAACGCAGGATATTTGTCTCCACGGCAGCCAAGTCAACAGCGAACAAGTTAGGATTGCAGTCGAGAAGAGCTGAGTGTGGAGAAGAAACAAGCTAATTCCACAAAGGAGTAAAGTGGGAGCCAGTAAAGTATTTAATTTTCATTGAAGGGTATTCATGTAAAATCAGTCAAATTCCAGTAATTCGAGCCTCTAGAACTCAGGAAACATTCACTATATAAAGGTAAGATTTTGCATGGCTTCATTAAACATGCTAAAGTTATTGCATAAAAAAACAGCAGATCCTGAGGAAGTCACGTGGATTGAATTTTCATGGAATAACCAGGTAGTTACTCACCTTGAGCAAACGTTTTTGCATTGCCGTGATCCTCCTCCAGTCTTCCAATCATATTCTGTAAGGAGAGTTTTCCATCTGCTGCCAGTATGCCAGCCTGCCGCATTCCCCCACCGAGTGCTTTGCGACACCGTACCGCTCTGGATATGAAGTCCTTGGGTCCAGCCAGCACGGTACCAACTGGGGCGCCCAAACCCTGATACACACCCAGGATTTTGATTGTTACATTAATCCAGTTTCACCTTGGTTAAGAAGAATCTTGACTTTGTGTGTGTGTTTATATACTTCAAACCCACCTTGGAGAGGCACACACTAACAGTGTCTGTGTGCTGCAGTATGGCAGATGGAGGCACTCCCTGAGCTACAGCGGCGTTCATTACCCGGGCTCCGTCCATGTGAACGGACAGACCATATCGATCTGCTAAAGCACGCACCTTAAACATGGAAACAAATCATCCAAACATGATCGCATCACATCATTAAATTTTAATAAGGCACGAATCACTATTGCTTTTGCATCAAAATGTGGCAATCAGCATGACTCTGTAAATAATACATTTCAATGGGAAATCTTCCTGCCGGAGACTACGAGTCTACAACAAAGTCTCCGGGGATACATCCCCATGGCAACCAAGAAAAGCTATCTTTAATAATAATTGAAGAAATTTAATTAACAATGTATTTCAAATGATAACCAAATGTGTATGACCCAAACTGTGGTCTCTGCTGCGAGCAGTGAAATGATTCACGCCACCCTACGTCCGTACTACTTTGGCTAACACGCTGTACTGAACAGGGAGCACAAGGAGAGAACATATTTCTCCAATATTAGCTTTTCTGTTCTGTTAAATACAGAATTTCATTCAAAATCTTTACCTTTAAACACAAAGTTCTAAATAATAAGACCCCATCATAGCCTTAAGACCTCATAGTATCTTATCATCCCAGTGGAGCACTTTAGTTTCGACCTACAGGGTTTCTTGAAGTTCTTGGAGGCTGTAAAAGCCTCTCCTGAGGAACCAGCTCCTGCTTTGAGTTCAGGTGACAGACAGACACCCTTTCTATTTTTAAGATTAAACTTAAAACTTTCCTTATTGAAAAGGCTTATAGTTGGGTCTGGATCAGGTGACCCTGAACCATCAGTTAAGGAGCTACTTTGCTGGAGATCTCAGGCAGCACTGTGTTAAAATCAGGCATGAGTCACCGAAAGCACTGCATGGGCTCAGGAACATTTCTAGAAATCACTGCCTATGAACGTTGTGCCGTCCACAAATGCAGGTCAAAACTCTGTCAAAGAAGAATCCATATGGACACATAATCCAGAAACACTGACATCTTCTCTGAGACAAAGTTCGCTTAAATTGGAGTGATGCAAAGTGGATCTGGGGTCAGACTAATCAAAGTGAAAGTCATGCACACACACCTCCTGCAGAAAAGCCAGAGGTAGCACACGTCCCCCTTGAATGTTGTGCGTGTTTTCCACACATACGAGCCGTGATCGTGGGTAATGGGGGTCTGGGTAACCGTGGCGTATCTTTGACTCCAGCTGCTCCAGGTCAAACGTCCCATCGGGGAGCGTGGTCACCGTGGTGGAGTGCACGCCAGCCAGCTGTATCAACACAACAAATACACACACACTCTTGTCTAGTTACAAAAAACCCCCATCATAGATGAAGCTGCTGCGGCACACTCACCTGAGCGCTACCTCCTTGCTCGTAGATGTGTAAATGGGACAAGTCCCCCACGATTACCTCGTCGCCCCGCTCCCTGCAGTGCACCATCACTGTTGGATGAAATGGAGGCATGTTTGCGACCATCCAGGACTAGTTAAGACTAATTCACACACTGCCAGGTGAAAGCAAAACTGACCTGCAATGAGATTACTCATCGTTCCAGAGGGGACGAACAGGGCGGCCTCCATCCCGAACATATCTGCTGCAATTTTCTGTAACTCTGCAGACATCACGCTTTACGTTTGAGCAGCATTTCACATACAAAAATGCAAAGACTTTAGAAGACTGCAGTGCAGTAAACCATTTCTCTAGTCATGGTTCAAAGGACAGAGAGGATTTTGTCATATAGACTGCAAAGTCAGCATAAAGACCTTTGTTTTACTTGGAGAGAGTTTTGTCTGCATGATAGTTGATTTAAGTGACTTTGAACGTGGCACAGCTGTTGGTGGCAGACAGGCTGAAACTGCTGACCTGGTGGGATTTTCTCACACAATGATCTCTAGAGTTTACAGAGAGTTGTCTGAAAAAGAGAAAATGTCCAGTGAGCAGCGGTTCTCTGACTGAAAATGCCTTGTTGGTGTCAGAGGAGGTTTTATTGTTTGGAAATGTTTCGTTTTAGTTGAGTTCTTATCAGTTTCAGTGATGCTTTTCTTCTTTTAAGTATTACTGTATGGAAGGCTTAAGTTAAAGGCAGGTTTTAGGAAAATGATCCAAAGTTTCAGGCAGGCACCGAACTGAAAAAGACTAAAATGAAGGATATTTTGTCTATATTTGTATTTTATTTTAGTTCATTTTCCAAGTTCACAAACCATTTCCGTTTTATTTTTCAAAAAAAAACAAACCAAAATTTAAAAAATTCTTTTAACTAAAGTTTTTTTTTTCACACCACAATCAATTTTTAAGTTGTTAAAAAATGTCGCAAAATAGCAAATACGACAGAAATTAAAAGTCATATATGGAATTTTTTTATGTAATTTATTTATTTATTTATTTTTTACAATTTTTAGATGGTTCAACAAACTTTCCATTTTTTTAAAAGGAATTTTCTGTCAATAATCTGATCATTTAAAAAATAATTAATGTAAAAGTAAGCCATACAGTACTTTTCTCGGGAATAGCACACGTTTGGGATGTGACCACTTTATAGAAGAGAAGACAATAACTTTTTTTCTTTGTCTGTTGGTGTCTTGGTTGATCCTCCAACTGTGTGGTTAATTTGGATTACTGGGTAATCCTGTATTGGATAATCCAAGCGACCAGTGCTTGAATATGGAAACTATGGTCTGCTATATATTATTAAGAAGTAACTAAGAGGTACTAAACTAGCCTGGTGCAAATATAAAAATACACACAGACCAGACAAGGGGTCAGTTATAATTTAAAGAGAACAGAAAAACATTTTAAAGCAGAATTTAACTCTTTCTTCGACTCTAACCGTTAACTGTCGGGTCTTCTCCCATCACGTCGTCTCCTACCTCGGCCTCCGCCATTGCCTGGCGCATGGCCGGACCCGGCTTGGTCACCGTGTCGCTACGGAGGTCCACCACCCGGACGTGGGCCGCCCTTCCGGGTCCAGCGTAGCTGGGCTTTCCAGAGTTGTAGTATCCCCTCGTGGAGCTGCATCCCAGCACGGAGCGGAGGGCGTTTTGGGCAGCGAGCGGTGCCACAACACCTTGATGGATGAATTTAAATAAAAGCCTGCAGGAAGATGTTTTTAACGCCATGATGGTCCCTTCTCAGTCATTTTCACTGTTATTACCGAACTTTGTATCGGTGGAGTTGTAATCGATAATCATTGACTGCAAGGGAAGTTAATGGATGACCTATAGGCGCATCCAAGTGCGCAAAGCGGCCTGGACCTCAAGATGGCGCTAAAATTCCAGCAAAGATTATTATTATTATTATTATTATTATTATTATTATTATTATTATTATTATTATTATTATTATTATTACACAAGTGTACACTCGTTATGTTAGTTCTGGTGAGGATGAGGGGCGCGTGAAAGACATAAACTGCATTTTATCTGAAGCAGCTCTGCTGACACTTTGTGCTTGTTAAGCACAAAAGAAAACTGAAGTTTGTTTGATGGTCTTTTCAAACTCGGCCCTTTTCTTTTCAAAGCACTTTTCAAACCGTGAGCTGTCACTTTATCCACTGTTCTGTCAGGTTCTCAACACTATTTCTGCAGGGATGCGTCTGCACATTGCGCTGTCTCACTTCATGTGAAAAACAAGGGTCACATATGCACATCTACTTTAAGTAACTGCATTTTTTTGTCTTTTTTCAGTTTTTGAATTATTTTTGATAATGTGTGCAGAGAAAATATATTGACAGGTGCCATGTTAAACTGCACTTGACCTGTGATGATTGCCTTCCTTGCTTAAAACATATATGACGTTGTCTGAAGAGGATGAGAGGCAAAACATCTTCATGAAGCTTAAAGAAGTCCAGTCATTTTCTTTCCAAGCTCATAGGAATATCGTGATCTGGAAAACCTACATTCATGGGTCTGACTTGACTTAATTTCCTTGATTTCTGATGCATTACTTTTTTCCACAGTGGTTTAAGATGCAAATGTCGTTTTTAATTAAAGGAAAACAAAACAATCCAACACCAGGTGGCAATTCAACCACACTTGCCTGCTTGTTTTCATAAGTAACATTACTGCTTCTTTCATGTTCTCACTGAGGGGGAAAATGCACGTGTTTCAAATAGTCGGGGTGGTGTGTTTCCTTTATGCTCATAGATCTAGATTTCATGGAACACAGGAAACGTATCGCCTGCAACAAATGCATTTTTACTCCCAATAAAAACATGAACCAAACAGAGAATGTATTTAGGAAACCATTGGGGCAGTTGATACGTTTTTATCATAAATTTACGCCATAAATCTACACAATTCCTCAGAAGTCAAGGAAATTACAAAAATGCCCAGGGAAAGACCTGATCCCTGCTTATAAGTCTTCCCATTACCCAAAAATCTACGCCCACACCTTCTTCTCCTAAGAAATCGGCATGTATGTTCAAAAGCGTTCACAGGGTGAATCAGCAGCCTAAAAAAAACTTTTTTAAAACAGTGTTTATATTGTTTGTAAAAGACTTATGAGGCTGTAGCTTGTGTAGCTTGTGGTGCATATATTGTCCTAAACTACGCAATAAACTGAGCTTTACAGGCTTCAAAAAATGACATTTATTGGGAGGTTATTTTACAAGATTACAGGGCTGTTCCTTGTATGTGTAGTTTAGTTTTGTTCTTTATTTTTCAGGCTCCACACACAAAAACACTGATTTGATAAAAAAGTCTTTGAACCACATTTGGCTACTAGATCATTTCAATCTGCAGTTCCTTGGAAGGTAACACACACAGTCCCACACACAGATGCTAATTCTTTCATCTATAACACACCTCATTTAACAAGCAACCTATCCCATCAGTTTATATTTTGCATGACATGGAAAGATATGAAAATCTACACCTTTTCAACTCGTTCTGGATTTGGGGATTGTGCAAAGGCAACGCTTCTTTTAGGAACAGTCGGCCCCTTTCAGCTGTCGTCATCGTCTCTAAGTAAAGTTGGAGGCATAGCGAATGACTTTAAAGCCAAGAATGTGCATTTGAGTGCAAAATTATGTTCGCAAAATGGAATATTTTGTGTTTAATACAAATCTCACTGCAATGGTACTGCTGGGATTTCTCATTCAGAACTTTTAAGGCTTGTTTATATCTTTTATTTACTATAATACTGTTATCTAATACTGTAAAAACAGAAAACACTGTACACTAGTATAATTTAAACACCAAAATCTAGATGAATGGGTGAAAATTAAAGTTATTTCACCTGGTCTGTGAGTTTCTAATAATAATCTAAAAACAGATCAGTCGTGTCCTGTGTAGCACACATGTTGAATTTGAACACATTTGCCTTGTAACTCGGACCGCAGTTTGTCCGGCATGTGTTTCCTAAATGTGTCCGTGCACCGGTGCGCGTTTATCTGTCTGCTCCTGTGCCACTTTGCACGATTTGTTTACGTCGTGTTGTAGCCACGAATACTCTGAAATAACTATGACACCTCAAGATTCTTCAAGGGTCACACACCCACTTTGGACCTGACCTTTATCCCCACACTGAGCTGAAAGGCTGAGTCTGACTGGCGTGACATTTACAGTCCAGTGGTGTGGTGGATTGTAAGGACCCTGAAAGAAATGTATATTTTTAATATTATAGGCTTTAATTTACAAGTAATTTGTAATTTATTAGTAATTATTCCACCATCAGGCATCTTATTTTGAGTGATATTTTCAGATATTTCAGCAATCTAAAAGATTTGGAGTGTTTCTGAATAAAATATTTTAGATATCCCACATTTACAAGTAAGATTGGTGGCGTTTGCGTGTCATTCTGTCTGTAAATGCGATAGCTCGAAAGGTTTTGAGCTAATTCTGACAAAACTTTAAAGGGGGGGTGTAGACTGGGCTTGCATCCACAAAAGAAATATCATGTCATGTGACCTCTGACCTCACTTTTACATTTTACATCTGCTTTTCTTTCAAGTTGACCCCAAAATGTGTTTTATTTTTAAAAATAAAGTATCATCAAAAGAAAGAGAATGAGCTGCCCGCAGTATAATATTAAATAATGAGCTCAAGTTATTCATGACCACCTATTTACAAATCAATAGCTATTATCCATTATCTACATACTGTTTGTGTAATCAAAGTAAACCTCTGTCATGCTACCATTAATGGATTTTTACTGCACTACAAACTTCTACAAGTAGGTTTAAAAAGAAAAAAAAACCCCAAAATGAATGTTTACAAAATAAAATACTATTCCTATTAAAGTAAATACTCCCCACAGAGTGGAGGTTTGCACTCTTGGATTACTTCATCGTAATCTGTGGTTACAGAGTCAGCAGATATTCTAAATACACCTGCCTGAAGTTTAAAATTAACACAATGAAAATAGGTTTGTAAGAAGCGACATACAAGGATTGGCTAAATAAATATAATTTTACTCATATAACCTTTTAAAAAATGTTCCTTATTGGATAAAAAAGTATTGAAAACGATCCCGTCTTCGCTTCACTTTCTAAACTAACTCGGTGGCTTGAGTGTTGAAGCTCCGGTACATTTCCACACTGGTGCTATGATGAGGCTCGGGCCCAAACTACACTGGCACCATCCTGTTTTTTATCTGTAACAAAGCCCCAGTTCCGTCACGTCCCTGAGACTAAGTCAATATTTGGAGGTGAAGGTTTGTGGGAATTTCTCCACTGCTGATCAAAACTGGCTGGGAGGGAGGCGCGTCTATTGCAAAGCACCTCTCTCCTCCCTGTGACACTGAGTTTTGCTCTGTGTGCTGCAATTGTTAGGGCCACATTTGCATTACAGGCACCAGCGCCCTCCCTACCCCCACCCTCACGCACATTTCCCACTCACACGGATGGGCTTACTGTCTTTTCTGATTTTAATCACCTGATAAGGACCCCAGTGTGTGCCATCAGCACGGCACTGTGCTGTAGTCAAACTTGATAATGCCAGTAACACAGCCAGGTTTTATGAGCCATAACCAGTCATCATTAAAAGTCATTAGCAAACATCAGCCTTGTAAAAAGGCCGCAGTCGGTCTCGAGAGCCCCACAAGAGCCATGAAGAGAGAGAGATAAAGATGCATCAGTAAGCAAGACAAGCAAGCAGTGATGGATAAGTGTGATAAGACAAAGGAAGTGGGAAATGTCCCGAGTTTTTACGGGATCCTTGTTGGCACCGCGCTCTCGCATTCTTCTCTGCGTGTGCGCAGAGCTGTGTGCCTTTCTCTCGTGTTTTGTTTCCCTGCGAGTGCCTTCCAGCATTCCTTGCCTGTGCATGAGGGGGAGAGAGTGGTGTTTTGGATAAAATATTGAATTAGAGAAAAAGAGGCAGAGAGGGAGAAATGAAAGAGAGGGAGAAATATTGACTCCTTCTGGGAAGGAGCGAGACGGCAACGCCTTTCCAATAACCATAAACCCACTGGGCTGAAAATAGATGGGCCGAATGAATAAACGAATGTGTTCATCCCACATGAGCTCTTCTCTTTCACGGACGGCAGAGGAATGGAGGTGACCCCCCACCCCCCTCCCCGACACCACAACGACCGCCACCACCACCACAACAACCTCCTTCCCTCTCTAACTATCTATCTATATCTCTCCTCTTTCATTTATTCACCATGACGAGAGATATTAACTGGAACAAAACAGGTGTTTATGGGAAGCCGTCACTTGAATGATGTCTTTCAAACACACACAGACACACTCTCACTCAACACATACCTCTTTCTGTAAAGGTGTCGACATCAGTGCCTGTGAAACAAGAGTAACATCTGTTTCACATTTCACACTACTCCCCCCCACTTCATATGTCACGGGCCATGTGGACATGCTTTACTTCACACACACACACACACACACACACACACACACACACACACACCCTCCTGTTTCCTTGACTTTAGAGGACATTACATTGACTTGCATTCATTTCCTGGAGACTTACCGTAACCAGCACTTTCCTAACCCTTATTACCGAAACACTAACCAAGGTTTAACCCTTAAATCTAATGCTTTCCATCGTGGGACTTTCTTTCTGTCCCCACTGGGGGACTGTGTAAACAACCTCTTGTCCCCACTACGCAATTTAAAAAAGAACATGTTGCTCTTAGGAAGCAGGGGGAGCGTGATGGTGTAAATTCTTTCTTTCCTTTTTGTTTTTTTTTCTAAGCATTTCATTGGGGAGTCCTCTGTTCTTGTTTCTTTTCTTAAA